CGCAGGCTGAGGGAAATTCACTGAGTTTTTCTACTAAGAAGAAAGGCCCATCTTGAGTTTGGTAGTTCAATAAAAAGCCCAAACAAGTCCACAATGCTAGAGGGCTTACCTCTGTTTCAGGACCAGCTTGTAAAAAGTGGCTGTACAGGGTTTACCTGATTTTCTTCTTTGTAGTAGATGTGGTTAGATTGTGGGAAGCAAGATTCCAAGAAAGAAAAAAAAAAAGCTGCCTCAGAAGAGCAGCCCTTCCTGAGCTCAGGAGACACAGTCACATCATCTGTTCAGAGACTGCACCAACAACAGCTCACCTGAGAGGGGCACCCTTGACTTCTCAGGGCCTTCTGTAGGGTGGAGACAATGGTAGATTGTCTTCAGATCAAGCAAAAACCATAAAAGCTCCAAATCAAATAGAGAATCGGAGACCTGTCTATCCTTTTCAACCAGTTTATAGTGAAGTGGGGCCTATGTTTGAATGTTCACCTAACTAGAAAGTTGCAAATCAGAATTTTGGAATTTAAATTTATCTTAGTACAAAGAAAAGAAATGGAAAGGGTTTTTTGGTTTTGTTTTTCTGATTTTTTTTGGTACTGGGGATTGAACTCGGGACCTTGTGCTTGCGAGGCAGGTAACAACCACTGAGCTAAATCCCTGGCCCTTTTTGTTTTGTTTTTAATGTAACCTTACTAAGGGAATGAATAGCTTTGTGCTCTTTTCATGATGTGCTGATTTCAGGGATAGTTTTCCCCTATGTACTTTTTTTTTTTTGGTACCGGGGATTGAGCTCGGGACCTTGCACTTTTGAAGCAGGCGGCGGAACCACTGAGCTAAATCCCCAGCCCTACAGGGATAGTTTTCAAGGCCTAGCACCCACCAGCTATGGGCAGACTGGCCACCATGCACAAGGAACATTTGGAAACACATCCACTGGACTATGGAACCATGAGTTGAAGTGGAGTTTGTTGAGTAGTCACAGCATTTGTGCATCCTGGCCATCACAGCCCATGAGCACACAGCCCACTGGGAGAGGGAGGGACCAGAGAGGCTCGCTAATGGGGTCTCTGACACAGTTGTACCTTCTCTGTGGGGCTTCCTTTTGCCGGAAGTGCATGTCTAATATTACCCTCAGTGACCTGAAGTGGACCACTCCCTGCCCCCATGCATCCTGGTCATCACAGGAATGCATGGCTGTGTGTGTGTCTGTGTGTGTGTGTGTCTGTCTGTCTGTCCATGTGTGTCTTGAGTTAGCCTGCATTCTAAATCCTCTGTGTGACAGGGAGAAGCAAGAGTGGTGTCTCCACACTGGAGCCTGTCACCATCTTCTGTTGCTGCTGCTTCAGAATGGATTCTGGACAGCAGCAGCAGCTCACTTGGTCAGAAGTTAGGTAGGATAGATAGGAAACTTTCAAGCTGGCATTGAAGCATGCTATTCAAACAAAATAGAGTGCAGATGCATGTGAATTTTAAGATGGAATGATGTTTCCAAGAAAATGTGAAGTTTATCTGCTCCCTGGGCTGGATCCCCAGGTCTGTCAGGATACAGACATCCCCTTTTCTACCAATGGGGATATTTGGTGGGAAGTTTGGAGAACGACTGCATTGTCTCATCCATTAACCAGAGGCGCTGAGACATTTTCAAGCAACATGAATGTACTTCCTTTTGACTTTAAAAATACTATTATTGTCCCCGCTACTACAGATAATGAAATATAAACACAGAAGTTGAGAAATCTGCCCAGGCTTACGGTGGTAGTAGGTTGTGGAGCTAGAATTTTGAAGTCCCATAGACATGCATTTGTACGTTAGCTATTTCAAATACAAAATGTGATCCAAATGTATGGTGATTGTTTGAATTTTTAAAATGTATTACAGTAAACAACTATTTACATAGCCACTAATTCCCCTCAGTACTTCTCTCACTTTAGACGCACTTAATCATTCTCGCTGTGTTCTGAAGCTGTTCTCGGAGTCCTTTAGTGAGTGTCTTTATGAGGTGTGATCAAAAATATAGTGAATTCTGAGTGCCATCCAATGGAAAGGCCTAGAAACATCACAGTGTGTCCTCATCCACCTTATTCACTTGATCTGGCACTGTGTGACTTCTGGCTCTTCCCCAAAGTCAAAATGACCATGAAAGGTAAGCGTCTTGAATCAGTTCATAATATCCAGGTAACCATGAAAGTGCAGTTAAACTCACCATATTTTTTTTACCTTGTGGTCTTGTCATTGTGATGTCAGTTAGTGCCCCTTGAGTCATTTCTGTAGTAAGGGGTGTTTTGTAGGATAACCCAACACACACAGATATAACTGAGTAGTATAGGCTGAGCATCCTTAATGTGAAAGTCTGAAATCCCAAATTCTCTTAAAATCTACCTGGGTGTGGGGTTGCATGGCTGTGGGAGGCTGAGGCAGGAGGATCTCAAGTTCCAGCCTGGACAACTTACTGAAACCTGGTCTCAGAATTTTTAAAAAAATTTTTTTAAAGGGCTTGGGATATAGTTCAGTTCAAATGCCATCCATTCACTCACCACAAAAAACAAAAATCATAAATATTGGAAACTTTATGAGGACCAGCATTAATTGAAGGTTCTATACCTGACTCCATGTGACTTGTCACAGTTAAAATATGTATTAAAAACACCATACAAAATTACCTTTGAGGGCCAGGGATTTAGCTTAGTGGTGCCACCATCTGCCTCAAAAGCCCAAGGTCCTGAGTTTGATCCCTGGTACCAAAATAAGAAAGAAAGAAACAAAAAAATTACCTTTGGCTTGTGTGTAAAATGTCTTTTTTTTTTTTTGCTATAGTTCTTTTTTTATTAAGTTTGTTGGTACATTTTAGGTATACATTATGATCACATTCATCATTGGGATTTTGTACCTGTACATGATATATCTTGGTTCTTGTTTTTTCCCATTCCTCTTCCCTCCCCTCCACCCCTTCCTATTTACAAAAGCTTTGTTTCCATTTTTTCTTTCTTTCTTCATTTTTTCTTTCCCTTCTTTCCTTTCCCCCACTCCCCCTCCCTAGTTTCTCATCCCCTTTGAACATTTTCTTGCTATTTCACATCATCTATTATACATTTTGGTCCACATTTACACTTTGTTTCTCACACCAGAGGAAGAATTTGGTATTTACACATATGTGTCCTATTTATTTCACTTAAGAGTGTGGCCTCAAGCTGCATCCATTTAGCTGTAAATGTCTCTAGTGTATCATTCTTTATGGCCAGGTAGCACTCCATTTTGTAACAAAACAAAACAAAAAACACATTTTCTTTATCCAGTCACCAGTTCATGGGGATTTGGACTGTTTCCAAGCTTTTTTAATTCTTTTGGGAAGATACCCAGCAGGGGAATATGTGGGTCAAATGGGACTTCTAACCCTAGTTTGTTTTTTATTAAGGTGGGGTGGGATCTTGCTAAATTGCCCAATTTGGCCTAAACTTTTTTTTTTTTTTGGTGCCGGGGATCAAACTCGGGTCCTTGCACTTGCAGGACAGGCGGCAAAACCACTGAGCTAAATCCCCGGCCCCCTAACCCTAGTTTTTTGAGGAATCTCCATACTGATTGCCACAATGGTTGCACCAGTCTACACTCCCACCAACAGTGGAGAAGGTTTCCTTTCTCCCCATAGAGCCCAGCCATCATGTGTTACTGTTTATTTCTTGATAACAGCCATTCTTTCTGGAGTGAGGTGGAATCTCAGCTTTGCTTTCATTTGCATCTCTCAAATGACAAGTGATTTGGAACTTTTTTTCATATGTTTATTTGCTCCTTGTACATCTTTGAGAAATATCTGTTCATTTCTGATGCCCATTTTTGGATGGGTCTTTATATTTGGCGGCGGGGGGGTCCTGATTTTTTAAAGTTTATATTCTAGATAGTAGATCTTTGTCTGAGGAACAGCTGGTAAAATTTTTTTCCCATATTGTAGGTTGTCTCTTCACTCTGTTGGTGGTTCCTCTTGCTGTGCAGAAGCTTTTTAGTAAGATGAGATCCCAGTTGTTGGTTTTTTGTGCTAGTTCCCACACGAATGAGGTTTTGTTCATAAAGTCTTTTCCTACCCCAATGTCTTCTCAAGAATTCTACGTAGCCTGCCTTCTAGCAGGTTTAGTGTTTCTATTTTAATATTTAGATCATTGCTCCATTTCGATTTTAGTTTAGTGCATGGTGAGAGATATGGGTCTAGTTTTTTTGTTTGTTTATTTGTTTGTTTTTGGTACTGGGGATCGAACTCAGGACCTTGGGCTTGGGAGGCAGGCGCCAGAACCACTGAGCTAAATCCCCCGCCCTGGGTCTAGTTTTAATCTTTGTCAAGTTGAAACCCAGTTTTTCCAGCACCATTTATTAAGGAGGCTTTTCTCCCAGTGAGGGTGTTTGGCTCCTTTGTCAAATATGAGGTGGCTGAGTATGTCTTGAGTTGTTTCTGTAAATGTTATAGTTCTGACCCAAGAAATATCCACATCCTTTTGGAGAAGTTCAGTCTGTTTTATTATTCAGTTGTAATGATAGAGCATCATATTTACTCTGTGATACTTCGATTTATTTCCTTGCTTCAATTAAATTATCTTCAAAGGCCTTTATTTTTGCATCAATGCTGTATTTTTCTTTTCTCCAATTTGTTTCCTCCTTCCTCAGTTTCTCCAGGTAATTTAGCAGGTCAGCACAGCGGATACTCAATTTCTCATTTTTCTCCTCTAGATTTTTTATAAGCAGTCTGCTCTTTATTCTGTTCACACTCCTTAGTGTTCTTAACTTCTTGACTTTTATCTTCAAATTTCTTTTGCAAGTTACTGAATTCTTTTCTCAAGAAAGCATTTTCTTTTTTTTTACCACAACAAATTGTCATCTGTATCAAGTGAAAATGGCCTTTATTTTAAATTTTTCATTTCCTTAAAAGGGAAGACTTTGTCAAACATTTTTATCCACTCTGGGAAATGCACAATGATTAGGAAAGTGGATGCCGCAGTAATTTTTTCCGTATGTACATCAAAACTCATTTATGGTAGCAAACAAAACAAAACCACTCAAGTATGGTAGCTAACAAGTACAACCTGAAGGTTTTTGAAACTCATAAATTAGCCTCTATGAATAGTACAAAGTATTCATTTAATAAAAAAATTTTTGTTTTTCAAAGACAAAGGTTTTAATTATTATTCCCACCCCACAAGATGCACATGAAAATAAAACAAAACACAAAGGGAGAAAAAGGCAAATGAAAAGGAAGAAAAGTTGGTTCTGAGCAGGTGATTTACTTCTGGTTTCTCTTTCTGGTTCTTACAGGTTTTTGTGGGACCTCCTCCACCTGAGAACGTGAGCATTCCATACCTTCAACACTAGATTCTGTGCTTTCTTCCACGTCTTTCTTTCTCTTCTTTGCTACTGCTTTTGCTTTCAAACTTCCATTCTCCACAATGCAGAAGTCCAGTTTGCTGTCATCCTTACTCCCTACAGCTTTTAGTCCTTGCAAAAGAATATCGTGGAACTTCTGATAAAGAGGCTTGTCAGTATAATCCAGTAATTTCACAGCTTCCATGTATTTAGCAATTTCACCTGGCTTGCTTTTCTCAGGAAAACATGTCTCCATCAAACTTGCAGTATTGTCTCTGTATCTAATTTTGGAATCTCTAACATAGTTTGGATCCTTCAAATTATCCTCCCAAGGAAGATGGCCACTAAGCCACTGGATCATGCATTAAATAACCAAGTATTTCCAAATCACCACGTCTTGATGGGGCCACACCGTTGTGTGCGTCAGTGCTGGTGAATTCAGTAGTGCCATCGTGGCATCTTTTGGGATGATCTTTATATTCTCTATGAACTCCTTCTGGGCAGTACCGATAAGCAAGACCATAATCTACCAAATACACCTGATCAGGGTTCTTGTAGCTCAGAAGAAGATTCGAGGCCTTGATATCTCCACGCACGTACTCGTGCTCATGGATGTACTCCAGGACATCCAGAATTCTTAAGCTTAGCTGCAAGACAGCTAAGAAAGCATTTTCTTCATCTACTTCAATCTTCCATTTTACAAGGACATTTATTTCCTATTTTAGTAATGATTATCTCTATGAAGAGAAGCCCAAGACTTGATGGATTTACCAATGAATTCTACAAGAACTTTAAGGAAGATCTAATTCCAATGCTCTCAAACTCTTTGTTTCAGTTTTGTCATTGAGTTTGCAGAGTTTTCAGTCCATATCAAGCTGACTCCAAGTCAGGGTGGCCCACCAGAGGGGCATCACAGAACAGAAGGCAAGCAGCAGCAACAGTAAGCAACATGCAACAAGCTGTGTAAAAAGTCTTTATAGAACATAAATGAAATTCATGTTTAGACTGCAGTCCTACCCCTAAGATAGCACATTATTTATATGCAAGTATTCCAGAATCTGAAAAAAATCTGAGCTATTTCTTTTCCCAAGCATTTCAGATAAGGGATATTCAGCTTGTAATGCCTTGTTATGTCTTCTCAGCTCTTTTTTTTTTTTAAGTTTCATTTGCCATTTGCTAAATTGATTTCATGACCTACACTGTAATGGATTAAAGCCCTCAATTTGAAAACTGGTAGTGTAGATGAGCGTGATCACCTCTAATACTTTCTCTGTATTGGTTTTTTGTTTTTGAGGGGTTTTTTTGGTACTGGGGATCAAACTCGGGACCTTGCACTTTTGAGGCAGGCGGCAGAACTGCTGAGCTAAATCCCCGGCTCTACTTTCTCTGTTTAAAGTGAATGAAAATACTTAGAAATAAAATACTTAAGTATTAGCGTAGATCATTGAAGAAAGAGCATTGTGCTGAGATGCAGAATTGAAATTTAGTTCTTAGCAGTTAAGATTCCACTGCTCCCAGGCCAGAGGAGGTGAGCCACAAAGGCACCAGCAGCAACGCCACCCCACCCCCGTCAAAATGAGAAGACACATAAACAAGCCTCAAAACACAGACTTCCAGATCACCTACAGCAACCCCAAAGGGAAAAGAGATGGAACAATTTAATACTCAACCACCTGGACTCCCTGAACTGGCAACAAAAGATCTGGAAAAAATGAAATCAGAAATAATTTCTCAGATAACAGCAGAGATTGTGCCCATAGTGCAAGACATGATTAATAA